AAGAGCTTAATTGGAAAAATATTTTGATTAGGAACTTTAGTACTATGATGGTAAGAAACTTTCTTATTTAATTTTGTTGTGAGTTACACAATGACAATGAAGATATTCTATTCTATTTACAGTTGAACAAGGAGTCAGATAAGAGCAAACCTCGCCAGAAAGTGCTTGAAAAAAATAAAAAAAAATCTTTTCTTTCCATCGAGTGACTTATTTTGAATCTCAGGAAGACATGAGAACAACAGGGATACAAGCTTGCTCATTAACAAAGGTAATCTCCGACTTACTTATTCGTTTAGCGACCGTTCAAAGTTAAAATAGTACTGAAAATAGCATTTCCAACTGGCCCTCGCAGTTATGACCATTGCAGTATCCCCATGGTCACGTGACCAAAATACATGCGCTTGGCAACCAGCATGTATTTACGATGTTTGCAACATCCCCAGGTTGTGCGATTCCCATTTGTGACCTTCCCAGCCAGCTTCCCACAAGCAAAATCAATGGGAGAATCTGTATTCACTTAATGACCCTGAGATTCACTTATGAATGGCAGAGATTGGCTTAACAACTTTAGCAAAAAAATGATAAAATTCTGGTCACCATTGTGGTGGTAAGTCGAGGATTACCTGTACAGGTAGCCTCAACTTATGACCACAATTGAGCCCAAAATATCTGTTGCTAAGCAAGACAGTTGTTAAGTCAGCTTTATCCCATCTTACGACCTTCCTTGTCACCGTTAAGTGAATCACTGCCATCATTATGTAGGTAACAGAGTTGTAAAGTGAATCTGGTTTCCCCATTGACTGGTTTGGTTTGTCAGAAGGTCGCCAAAGGGAATCACATGACCCCAGGACAATGCAACCGTCATAAATATGAGTCAATTAACAAGTGTCTGAATTTTGGTTACCTGATCATAGGGATGCTGCAATGGTTGTAAGTGTGAAAAACGATCATAAGTCCCTTTTTTCAGTGCTGTTGTAACTTCTAATGGTCAGTAAACAAATGATTATAAGTCAAGGATTATTTTTATAATGATCGTATTTTGGGAGGAAAAAAAAATAAAAGGCAAAGCTGAAAAAGGGGGCAAATCGGAAAGAGGTTTGTCAAGGGTAACAAAACACTCATTGTTTATGTTGATAACATTGTTTGACAAAAGAGGATTCAAAAGCAAAGTCAAAGCAATCAATCCATCAACTGAAAGGTCACTTTTTTTGAAATAACAAATTGTCCTTTATAATAAAGGATATATGGTCACTCTGTTTATGGTAAAGATTTACATTGGCTGAAATCCAGTCATCACAATGCTGTCCGCTGTGGAGATAATATGTGCATGTAGCTTTTTAAAATCCATTTTAATTCATTAATAGAGTAAAAGAGTTGGAAGGGATCTTGGAGGTCTTCTAGACCAAGCAGGAGCAAGACAAATACCATTCCAGACAAACTGTTTGCTCTATTTTTCAAAACCTCCAGTGATGGAGCACCCACAACTCCTTAAAGACAAGCCGTTCCACGGATTAATTGTTCTAACTGTCAGGAAGTTTCTCCTTAGTTCTAGGTTGATTCTCTTGTTGATTAGTTTCCATCTGTTGCTTCTTCTCCTGCCTTCAGGAGCTCTGGAGGAGACATGGACCCCTCCTCTTTATAGCAACCCCATAAATATTGGAAGACTGCTGTCATGTCACCCCCAGTCCAGTAATGGCGAACCTATGGCACAGGTGCCAGAGGCGGCACTCAGAGCCCTCTCTGTGGGCACGCACGCCGTCACCCCAGCCCTAGGCCTTCAGCTGGGTTTTATTAAGGTGACCAATCGTCTTCCTTTAGGGAGGACAATCCTTCTTTTGTAAGTTCTATCCTCTCTCGAAAATTGTCCTCCTACATGTGTTCTTTCTTGATATTTGAAGACTAATCTGTAAATCTCCATATTCAATCGATGCGTGTGATGTGATGTATTTGTACTTGATATGACGATTCGTCAAGGCTTGGTACAATGCAGCAAGATGGGATTATGAGACGCATGCGCTCCGCGCAGTAGAATTGTTTTGAGAGAGTGCGCCGCGCCAAGTGGCTTTGTTTACTTCTTACCGAAACATGACATGGCGCACACACACACGCATTAGATTTACTTTTTTTTCTTCAATTTATTTGTGTCCTCCTTCTTATTGTAAAAGAGTTGGTCACCTTAGTTTTATAAAACCTTTTTGCTTTAGGCCTCTGCCGCCGTGTGCAAAAAAAAAAAAAAGATTCAATGAATCAGTCATTTTCAACTTCTCGCAGGAAAAAAAAAGATCTTGCAAAGTTGGAATTGATTGATTGAATTTTTTAGTCCCACCCAGTCTACCATTACGACCGCAGCTACACCCACCCAATGGGCCACACCCACCCAGCACCCGACGATTCATAAGTGGGTTTTGGGTTGCAGTTTGGGCACTCGGTCTCTAAAAGGTTTGCCATCACTGGTCTAGTCTTTCATCAGACCTCTATGAAGCTGTCCACTTTGGTTCCTGGAAGACATTAGCTGGATTTACAGGCATTATATTTGTGCAATTACAGGTAGTTCTCGACTTACAATTGTTAATTTAGTGATCTTTCAAAGTGGCCCTGAAAAAAATGACTTACCGTATGATTGTTTTTCACACTTATGACCATTGTAGCATCTCTGTGGTCACCTGATCAGAATTCAAACTCCCAGTGTCCTGGGATCATGTGATCCCGTTTTGCGACCTTCTGCCGAGTAAAGTCAGTGGGGGAAGCCAGATTCATTTAACTGTAGGTGTTCATTTAACAGTTATGGCAAAAAAAGGTAAAATGGGGCACAAGTCACTTAACAACTGTCTTTCTTAGCAATGGAAATTTGGGGCTCAATTTTAGTTGTAAATCGAGGACTTCACATACAGCCTAGCTAATGCTCCAATTGTGACCTTTTCTGAGACAGGTACATTTAACAATGCTTATTCTGCTTCTTATATTCAGAATAAATTGTACTATCACTTGTAGTCTTTTTGTAATTGTTTGAAGTTGCAACTAGCTGGGTCATGAAACGTCTGCAAGAAAATCACCAAGCTCAGAGATAACCAAGGACCCCACAGCCGCCTCCTCCTCCTCCTCCTCCTCCTCCTCCTTTCCCTCTCCTCCTTCTCTTCTCCACAAACCCCAATCCCTTCTAGCACTGATGATGTTACCTAGCTGGGTCATGAAATGTCTGCAAGGAAACCACCAAGCTCAGAAAACATCCCATAGTCATTGTCTCCTTCTTCTTCTTCTTCTTCTTCTTCTTCTTCTTCTTCTTCTTCTTCTTCTTCTTCTTCTTCTTCTTCTTCTTCTTCTTCTTCTTCTTCTTCTTATTCTTCTTCTTCTTCTTCTTCTTCTTCTTCTTCTTCTTCTTCTTCTTCTTCTTCTTCTTCTTCTTCTTCTTCTTCTTCTTCTTCTTCTTCTTCTTCTTCTTCCTCCTCCTCCTCCTCCTCCTTTCCCGCTCCTCTTTCTCTTCTCCACAAACCCCAATCTCTTTTAGCACTGATGATGTTACCTAGTTGGGTCATGAAATGTCTGCAAGGAAACCACCAAGCTCAGAAAGCACAAAGGGCACCACAATCATCACAGTCCTACTCCTCCTGCTTTTCCTTCTCTTTGCAAACCCCAATTCCTTCTAGCACTGATGATGTTACCTAATCAGGACTAGAAACTTCTGCAAGAAAACTACCAGGCTCAGAGAGAACCATCAAGGACTCCATAGTCCTCCTCCTCCTTCTCCTCCCCTTGGCAAACCCCAATCCCTTCTAGCACTGATGATGTTACATAGTTGGATCATGAAACATCTGCAAAGGAAACTACCAAGCCCAGAGACCATCCAGAATCCCTTGGTTATGTTTGGTTTATCTAAAAAGCAAAAGAATTTATTTCCAATGAATAATTTCATATATGGTATTTAACTGCCCGACTTGAGAACCAGCATCAGTCTTGAAAAACAGCACTGTCTGACGGAGATTAGAAAAGCTAAATTTATGTGGTATTATCAGGTCTGCTCATCTCAGCTGCGTCATCAGAAACAAAGGCCTCTTTTCAGTAAGATCAAATGCCAAATAAAGTTCTTAATCCATTGTGCGGAATTGCAAAATCTGCTTCAAATGTTTTTTTTTAATATAAAGGCCACATTGCAAACAAATAAGACAATACAGTCCTCAATTTATGACCATATTTCAGTCCAAAATTTATGTTGCTCAGCAATTCTGTTATTCAGTGAATTTTGCCCCATTTTTAAGACCTTTCTTGCCAAAGTTATTAAGGGAATCACCGCAGTTGCTAAATTAGTAACGTGGCTTCTAGTTAATCAGCCTTCCCCACTGATGTTGCTTGTCAAAAGATCGCAAAAGGGGATCACACTGCAACTCATAAATGAGTCAGAAAAAGAAGAAAAAGGAACAGGAAGAAAGGAAGGAAAAACATAAAATTAGAGGATGGATGGATGGAAGAAAGGACAGAGAAAAAGGAAGACGGGGAAGGAAAAATGTAAAATGAGAGGAAGAGTGAAAAGAGAAAAAGGAAAGGAACAGGGAGGAAGGAAGGAAAAATATAACATTAGAAGGAGGGAGGAAAGAAAAATCTAAATCACTCTTATTTTCCATCCTGACAATAAGCTAGGGAATTCTGGGAGTTGAAGCCCACCCCTCTTGAAGTGACTAAGGTTGAGAAACACTTATTTAAATATACAGTACATCACAATAGTAGGGAAACCCTGCGAGCTTTGGATTTCCTGAAGGGAAAAAAAAAGCAATTTTTATCTCTCGAATAAGGGGCGGACAAAATACACCTCTCAATCCCTTGCACTTTTGTATGTCTCTACGGTTGGTCTCATTAAAACTTATAAGGCAGGGGTCCTCAACCGTGGCCACTTTAAGACTCGTGGACTTCAACTCCCAGAATTCCTCAGCCAGCTCTGAGGAATTCTGGGAGCTGAAGTCCACGAGTCTTAAAGTGGCCAAGGTTGAGGACCCCCCTGTGGGCGGGGCCCCGTGACTCTTCCGCGCTCGCCTCTCGATGGTGCCTGCAGCCGCTCCGGCCGCTGACGTCTTCTCCGTGACCGGAAGTGGGCGTGGCGAGGCGTTTGTTATGATGGCAGCCCCTTCCGACGCGGCGGCGAGTCCTGAAGCAAGGGAGGCGAGGTGGGAGCGGCGTCGAGCGGCGGACTCAGGCCTCTTTCTTCTCCCGGCCTGAGCGGGCCCGGCCCCGGGTTCAGAGCGGGAGGGGAGCCGGAGTTGAGGGGGCTCGCAGGGTGCCCTTGTTGCAGCCTACCTCGCCCGGTTGTTGTGAGGGCGGTTTGGGGGTGTGTAAGGCGAAGCCAGGTCGGGGTGGGGGGGGGGAGAGAACCACCATACCTTCCTTGGCTGCAACCAGTGCGCATGCGCGGCTTACCTTGGCTCTGGGTCCAAGAGAGAGCCCCCCCCACCGAGCAGCAAAACTGGCAGAAAGTGCCCCCCCTCCGCAAGGCTGGTCTGCCAATCAGGGAAGGCCTCCATGGGCGACCCAAGAGTCGTTTGTTCCAAGAGCATTAATTAAAAAATTAGTAGCATTAATTAAAAAAACGTCAAATTGACTTGGAATTTAATTTGGCTGTATTGTTGTTGCCTGGGTTTGTGTGGGGTGTTGTTTTTTTTTAAATAGGTGTTTATTATATGGTGGGGTTTTAAAAATGCTGTCAAGTGCCCCTCCCCCCCACCAAATCATTTATTTATTCCAAGCCAAATTATCTATTACTTAAACCAGGGATAGGGAACCTTGGCTCTTTGATGACTCGTGGACTTCAACTCCCAGAATTCCTGAGCCAGCATGGCTCAGCTTGGAAACTCTCCCTTTCCCCTCAGCATGGCTGGCTCAGGAATTCTGGGAGTTGAAGTCCACGAGTCATAAAAGGGACAAGGTGGCCTACCCCTGATTTAAATCAATCAATTTAAATCAATAGTCCTCTACTTACTTATTTATTTATTCCAGGCCAAATTATCTATTACTTAAACCAATGGACAGATAGTCCTTTACTTACTTACTTACTTATTTATTTATTCCAAGCCAAATTATCTATTACTTAAACCAATGGACAAATAATCCTCTACTTAACTTATTTATTCCAAGCCAAATTATCTATTACTTAAACCAATGGACAGATAATCCTTTACTTACTTACCTACTTATTTATTCCAGGCCAAATTATCTATTTCTTAAACCAGTGGATGGGTAATTCTTGACTTGTTGAGCAACTGTTTGAAGTTAGAACAGCACTGGGAAAAAAATGACGGTTTTTCACACGACCATGGTGGCATCCGCACGGTCACATGATCAAAATTCAGATGCTTATAAACTGACTCATATTTACAAGGGTTGCAGTGTCCCGGGGTCACGTGATCCCTCTTTGCAACCTTTTGACAAACAAAAGTCAATGGGAGCAAGCCAACCCTATTGCTAACTTAACAACTGTAGTGATTCGCTTAGCAACTGTGGCAAAAAAGGTCATAATATGGGGCAGATCTCACTTAATAACTTCCTTGTTTAGAAACAGAAACATTGGGCTCAATTTTGATTATAAATTTGTTTTAAGAAATAATAAATAATTTTGGAACATTTCAGGGTCCGAGAAGGTTGAATAAAGGTTTATTGCAGCTGTCTGAATGGAGGTTATTGCAGGACAGGGAGAGAAACCAAACATTGCAGTGATACTTTGGAGCAGGATCAAAATCTTGAGCAATGTGGTGTATGCATCATTATCTTTTTTTAACCCCGAAAGATTAGATAAAAGCAATTACTCTGCTTGGTAAGCTTTGCGGTTTGGAATCAAACTGTATCTATTTTCTTTACTGGTCTTTCATTCCTTAAAAAAAAGAAATTATATCCACACTACAATTACTTACTGAATATCCTTATTTATTTCTTTATCATTTTTATTTTTATAAGCAAAGCAGAGGATGTATACAATACTCTTTATGTATTCAAGATGGACAGTGATTAATATTTATATGTTACTTATATGTAAGGGTGTAGGTCTATGCCAGGCGCAGGCAGCCTTGGCTCTTTTATGACTGGTGGACTTCAACTCCCAGAATTCCTGAGCCAGCATGGCTCAGCTTGGAAACCTCTCCCTTTCCCCTCAGCATGGCCGCCTCAGGAATTCTGGGAGTTGAAGTCCACCAGTCATAAAAGCCAAGGTGGCCTACCTCTGGCCTAGGCCTAGGCCGCTTTATGACTCATGGACTTCAACTCCCAGAATTCCTGAACCTGTATGGCTAAGCACGGAAACCTCTCCCTTTCCCCTCAGCATGGCTGGCTCAGGAATTCTGGGAATTGAAGTCCACCAGTCATAAAAGAGCCAAAGTGGCTTACTTCTGGCCTAGGCCTAGGCTGCTTTATGACTTATGGACTTCAACTCCCAGAATTCCTGAGCCAGCATGACTCAGCATGGAAACCTCTCCCTTTCCCCTCAGCATGGCTGGCTCAGGAATTCTGGGAGTTGAAGTCCACGAATCATAAAAAGAGCCAAGGTTGCCTACCCCTGATCTATACATAGGTTGTATATAGTATGTTTTAAATGTGTGCTATGTAACTTGAGAGCAAGCAACTAAATTTCATTTTTAATGTGTGCCGTTGTGCCCACAGGGAAAAAAAATGACAATAAAGATAATCTAATCTAATCTACTCCTTCCTCCTCCTATTTTCCTCACAATAACAACCCTGTGAGGAGGGCTGGGCCGAGAATGATCTGTGGATACCCCGAGAAGTTTAGCTTCCAAAATAGAGGTGGTCCTCAACTTACAACACTTCATTTAGTGACTGTTCAAAATTACAACGGCAGTGAAAAAAATAACATATGACCCGTTTTTCATACTTATGGACATGGGAAATCCAGATTTCACTTAACAGCTCTGTTACTAACCTAACAACAGCAGTGATTCATTTAACAACTGTGGCGAGAAAGGTTGTAAAATGGGGCAAAGCTCATTTAACAAATTTCTTACCGAGCAACAAATTTTAAGCTCAGTTGTGGTCGTAAGCCGAGGATACCCTGTACATCCACAGGATGAGGTTCAGCTTATCTGTGGGTGGGTTTATCTGCAAATATATAGATTCGTTTGTGACTGTTTGAAGTTAACAACAGCACTGGAAAAAGTGACTTATGATAATTTTTCACACTTATGACCATTGCAGCCTCTCTGCAGTCACATAATCTGAATTTGGATGCTTGGCATCTGGCTTATGTTTATGACAGTTGCAGTGTCCCAGGGTCATGTGATCACATTGTGGTCCCATTGGTGGCAGTAAATCAGGGACCATTGGTACTTTGGATTGCTACATTGGGCAGAGAGTTATACCTGATCACTATGTGACCCCCTTCTTCCTCTACAATTCAACAATTTCTGAATTGTGGTTCCCTCCAGAGAGCCTGCCTTAGGAATGCACCATTTCAGCAGCAAATAAAAGTTTGTTTCTTCCTTGTCTCCGTTTTTAAAGTTGTAGTGCTCCATCTTTCTTTCAAGCTGTTACTCTGCCTTGGTGGCTTCTGTTTGTAAGCCTTTACAAATATTCCTCGCAGTTGAGCTCAATATTTCTGTCGCTAAGCAAGACAGTTATTGAGCCAGTTTTCTCTCATTTTACGATCTTTTTTGCCACAGTTGTTTTGCAGTTGTTAAGTTACTAACACAGTTGTTAAGCGAATCTGGTTTCCCCATTGGCTTTGTTTATCAGAAAGTTACAAAAGGGAATCACGTGAGACCCCAGGACACTGCAGCTGTCATAAATAGGAGTCAGTTGCCAAGCATTTGAATTTTGAGCATGTGACCACAGGGGTACTGCAACAGTCGTAAGCGTGAAAGCCGGTCGTAAATCAGTTTTTCAGTGCTGTTGTAACTTCAAACAGCCGCTAAACCGGTGGTTCTCAACCTTTTTAATGCCGTGACCCCCCAACCGGTCGTAAGTCGAGGACTACTCAACTGGTGCAGAATGGGACTTTTGGCAGGCTCAGCAGGGCAGAGACAGCCTGGACCATTCCTATTGGCTTTGGAAAGCCAAAAGAATTAGACTCTATTCAAGAGAGTCTCTTCTATTGGCTTTCAAAAGCCAATAGAATAAAAGGGAGCAGCACAGCTAAGGAAAAGGGGGGGGGGGAAATGGCGGACTGCGTTGTTTGGCGACCCCCGTGAAATGGTCCTTCGACCCCAAATGGGGTCCCGACCCACAGGTGGAGAACCACTGCGCTAAACGAATGGTTGTCAGTGGAGAATTACCTGTATTTCTATCTGTATCAATGAGTCGAAGAGCAACGTGGACTTGGATTAACTCAAATTCTTTTTTCCAGACTGTCCCCATGAGTTCTCCCGCGGAGGATGTCCATGATCCTCTTTGCCTGCGTGGTGCGGGTAAGGGACGGACTTCCTCTCTCGGCCTCCAGTGATTTCCACCTAGACCCTCGTTTTTTGGAATGCAGGAAGAGACTCAAGGTCCTGTCCTCCATACTGACGCAGTATCCAGAACGGGGCACAGCCAAAGAATGTGACCTCAGCATACAGTAAGTCATGCTCTAGCTTCAGACTCAAACCAGCTCGTCCTGTTTTATTTATATTTTTCTTTCTGCTGCTCTGATTATTTGAGTTCATTCTGGCGGACTTAACAAATAAGGAAAGAATAGAGAAAATCCTGTGCTCATCAAGGTACAAAAACACGTTCTGCAGATATAATCGTAAAACCATAGCACCACCTAGCATCGGACAATAGAAATTCATCTTATACAGCAGTGGTTCTCAACCTGTGGGTCGGGACCCCATTTGGGGTCGAACGACCATTTCACGGGGGTCGCCAAACAACGCAGTCTGCCATTTTTTCCCCCTTTTCCTTAGCTGTGCTCCTCCCTTTTATTCTATTGGCTTTTGAAAGCCAATAGAATAGACTCTCTTGAATAGAGTCTAATTCTATTGGCTTTCCAAAGCCAATAGGAATTGTCCAGGCGGTCTCTGCCCTGCCGAGCCCACCAAAAGTCCCATTCTGCAAACGGTGCTGCGCCAATTGAGTAGTCCTCGACTTACGACCAGTTGAGTAGTCCTCGACTTACGACCGGTTGGGGGTCGCGGCATTAAAAAGGTGGAGAACCACTGGTATACAGGGAGTCCTTGACTAATTGAGCCCCAGGTTTCTGTTGCTGTATCAGATTTTCTTTAGGAATTCCCCTGCTATGAAACGCCTTCCTTTCTTTGTGCACAAATCCGCCCCTCACTTGTGGTTCCCCGTTGTACTCTTTAGAGTTGATTCTAGATCTTTTCTTTCACAGCTTCCATACTTCCGGGGGCGTCGCCTGTACCTGCATTGCCATCAGCAGTTACCCAGCTGTGATGGCCTTCTGTTTCCTGGAAGAGCTTCGGTGTAAATTTGCCACATCCTACAATGCCACCAGTGTCAGCCTGGCTTCCAGACCGTATGCTTTCCTTGAATTTGGTATGTTGTTGGTTTGCCTTTTTTTTTAAGTCTTTCTCTTCGTGGGGAAAATTTAGCTGTGAGTTGCTTAATGCTCTCTGACCTTGGGTGTCTTCTTGCAGATGTTTCATAGAGTCACTTCTGGCACTGGTGGTGTTAGTTGGGTCATGAAATAGCTGTAAGAAGGCAACCAGGCTCAGACACCACCCAGGACTCCCCAGTCGTCCTCCTCCTTCCAAATCCCACTCTCTTCTAGCACTGATGATGTTACTTAGACAGGTCATGAAATATATGCAAGAAGCAATCTTCCTCCCCCCTTCTCTCTCTCTCTCTCTCTCTCTCTCTCTCTCTCTCTCTCTCTCTCTCTCTCTCTCTCTCTCTCTCTCTCTCTCTCCCTCCCTCCTCTCTCTCTCTCTCTCTCTCTCTCTACCCCACTCTCTTCTAGCACAGATGATGTTACCTACTTAGCTCATGAAACGTCTGCAAGAAGGCAACCAAACTCAGCACCCATAGAAAGAGAAACATAGATAAGTATGGATTAACAGCAGACAAACGATGAAGCACAAAACAGTAATTGATCAAGCAACTACCAAGGAGAAAACCGCACCCCCACCAACACTGGCAGGGAAAGTTACTGTATATAAACACTGTCTCACACTGATGATGTTACACAAATGGGTCATGAAACATCTGTAAGAAAACTGCCTAGCTCAGAAAGTGCCAAGTCGTCGTCGTCCTCCTCCTCCTCCTCCTCCTCCTCCTCCTCCTCCTCCTCCTCCTCCTCCTCCTCTAGCACTGATGATGTTATCTAATTGGGTCATGAAATGTCTCCAAGAAAATCACCAAGCTCAGAGAGCACCATCAAGGACCCCACAGGTCAACTCTGAGCTACAAGTATTCTAATTAGTCATTGCTATGTTAAGAACCCTCCGTAGTAGTGACTTGCTTAACCACCGTTGCAAAGAAGGTCGAAGAATTGAATGCAAGCGACTTAATCGCCTCCTTGCTTAGCATTGAAAATTCTGGTCTGTGGTCGCAAGCTGTCAGGTGGTGGTTGAGCCTTTAATGATCACTTAGGTTTTGTCTCTGAGGATCTGTCCCTAACCTGACCTTTCAGGTTTTCTGGAAATAAAGATTCAGGAGGTCCTCAACATACGACACTTTGTTTAGTGATTGTTTCAAATTACAGCAGCATTGAAAAAAAAGTGACTTACGACCGTCCTTCACACTTAGGACCGTTGCTGAGTCCCCCCCATGGTCATAGGATCAAAATTCAGATGCCTGGCACCTGACTCATACTTATGACGGTCGCAGCATCCCAGGGTCACATGATCCCCTTTTACGACCTTCTGACAAGCAAAGTCAGTGGGGGAAGCCAGATTGCTTAGTGGCCGTTCAAAATTACAGCGACACTGAAAAAAGGGACTTAATGACCATTTTTTCACACTTACATCATGTGATCAAAATTTGGCTGCCTGGTAACTGATTCGTATTTATGACGGTTGCTATGTCCTGGGGTCTTGTGATCCGTTCTTCTGATGAGTAAAATCAGTGGGGAAGCCAGATTCACTTAACAACCGTGTGACTAACTTAACATTGCAGTGGTTCACTTAACAACTGTGGCAAGAAAAGTCATAAAAATGGGGCTAAACTCACTTAACGAATGTGAAATTTTGGGCTCCATTGTGGTTATAAGCCGAGGACTACCTGTAATCTCCAGATGTGGTTCGACCCTACACAATACCACAGCTCCAGTGGGTGGGATTCAGCCAGTTCGCACCACTTTGGCAGAACCGGTAGCTAATTTTTGGTTGCCCAGGCCCAGAACGGACTTCCGGAAGCGGCATCCACACCGAGAACCGGCTGATCACCTATTTGGATCCCACCACTGCTCACAGCTCCCTCGGTGGGCCCTAGCGAAGCATACATCAATATTTTCTTATTTTTAGAGAAAGCTCTTCTTGCCTCTTTGCCACAGACAGTGTCGTCCAGAAAACCCAAAACCAGTTCAACCACACCAACTGCGCTCAGCCAAAGATCGACGTGGCAAAGATGCAGGAGGACCTCCGCTTGCGACCTCCCGCCCTGGTCAGCTGGGAAGACATGGAATTGATGAACGGGATAGTGAACGGCCGGGCGGAAGCTCACCTGGAGACAGGTGAGTTATCCTACATTGGGATGAGATTTTTCCTGTTCATCCCATCACAGGTCGAGAGCCGCAGCAATGGGTGGCTTGGAGAATGTACACAGAGACAAAGAGCTGCTTTAATTCCTAATCCCTAATTTAATCTAATCTAACAAAGGTCTATGGAGATTCTCAGTCATCCAGGACATAGTTATCCGAAAGGTGCGTTTTTTCAGGAGGCAACTGGACTTTTTTGTTTTTCTTTTGAAAACATTTCACTTCTCATTTAAGAAGCTTCTTCAGCTCTGACTGGACGGTGGGGAACAGAAGGAGTTATACTCCTTGCAGACAGCCGGTCATTTGCATTTTTTTAAAGGGTTGTTGAGGCCACTTGGAAGCTTATCTGTGTCCTCAGGGTCATCTGAGTAGCGACATTCTCTATTTCCAGTCCACAACACAGTCCTTTCAACAGTTCCAAGAAGGCTCACATTTACACCACTCAGGTGACCCTGAGGACACAGGTAAGCCTCCAAGTGGCCTCAATGACCCTCTAAAACAGTGGTTCTCAACCTTTTTAATGCCGCGACCCCCTACCAGTCGTAAGTCGAGGAGTACCCAACCGGTCATAAGTCGAGGACTACTCAACTGGTGCAGCAACGTTTGCAGAATGGGACTTTTGGCGGGCTCAGCAGGGCAGAGGCAGCCTGGACAATTCCTATTGACTTTTGAAAGCCAATAGAATTAGACTCTATTCAAGAGAGTCTATTCTATTGGCTTTCAAAAGCCAAGAGAATAAAAGGGAGTAGCACAGCTAAGGAAAAGGGGGGAAAAATGGCGGACTGCATTGTTTGGCGACCCCCGTGAAATGGTCGTTCGACCCCAAATGGGGTACCGACCCACAGGTTGAGAACCACTGCTCTAAAAGAAAGCAAACGATCAGCTGTCTGCAAGCAGTATAAATCCTTCTATTCCCCACCATCCAGTCAGAGCTGAAGAAGCTTCTTGGATGAGAAGCGAAACGTCTTCAAAGAGAAAAAAGAAAGTCCAGTTGCCTTGTGAAAAAGCATCTTTGTGACTAACAAAACATCGGAAAAAAACTCTGCCATAATTCACTCATTTATAAGAGGAGTTGTTACTCTTATCGCTGGATAATAATGAAGGGAAATAAACAGTCAGCTTCAAATATTCTGTTAACTTTAAATGTTCTGTGATTTATGAACATTTTTCACGCTTACGATTGCTGCTGCATTCCCGTGGTCACATGATCAAAATTAAGATGCTTGGCAACTGATTCATATTTATGAAGGTTGCAGTGTCCCGGGGTCACATGATCCCCTTCATGGCCTTATGACAAGCAAAATCAACAGGAAACCCAGATTCACTGAATAACTTTGTTACTAACTCAGTGGTTCTCAACCTGTGGGTCGGGACCCCATTTGGGTCGAACGACCATTTCACGGGGGTCACCAAACAATGCAATCCGCCATTTTTTCCCCCTTTTCCTTAGCTGTGCTACTCCCTTTTATTCTATTGGCTTTTGAAAGCCAATAGAATAGGCTCTCTTGAATAGAGTCTAATTCTATTGGCTTTCAAAAGCCAATAGGAATTGTCCAGGCTGTCTCTGCCCTGCTGAGCCCGCCAAAAGTCCCATTCTGCAACCGGTGCTGCAAGTTGTCTGCAGTGAAGGCGAGCTGTCTGGAAGTTTCCACCCCTCCCTGCTGAGCAACTACTAAAAATGTAAGCAAAAGAGGGCCAGGGGTGGGAGGTGGGAGGCCGGCGGGCGCAGGGAGGGTTGCTGGCGCGCGTGGGGCCCGGCGGGTGCCTTACCTCCCTTGGGCTGGGCCAGCTGATGGCCCAGCCAGTGGTCGTCCTGCGCCGTTGCTGCCCCTTGCCAGCTACGCCTCGACTTACGACCGGTTGGCTAGTCCTCGATTTACGACCGGTTGGCTAGTCCTCGACTTATGACTGGTTGGGGTCGCGGCATTAAAAAGGTTGAGAACCACTGTACTAACTGAACAACTGCAGTGATTAACAACTGCAGTGATTAACAATGATTAGCTTAGCAACCTCAGCGATTCACTTCGTAACATTGGGCAAAATTCACTTAACTATCTTGCTTAGCAATGGAAATTTTGGGTTCAGCTGTGGTCATAAGTCAAGGATTATCTGTGCTGTTCTGTTCCTCTAATCCATTGCTTCTCAGTCTCAGCGGCTTTTCAGATCTGTGGGTTTTAATTCCCAGAATCCCCCAGCCATTTGCTTTGGTAATTCTGGGAGGTGACGTCTCCAAATTGTATAGGTAGTCCTCAACCTACGATGGGTTGCTTAGCAACTGTTAAGAATTGCAGTGCACTTAACAACCATCACATTATCCTCCGTCAGGTAACCAAAATTCAGGGGCTTGGGAACTGCTGTGTGTTTATGAAGATGGCGGTGTCTGAGGGTCACGTGCTCCCTTTGTGACTTTCCCAGCCGGCTTCTGACAAGTCAGTGGTAGGAACCAGATTCACTTAATGACTGTGTGACCCACTTAACAACTGCAGGGATTTGCTTAAGAGCCATGACAAAAAAGCTAAAATCGGAAACCAGCCACTTAACAACCTTGCTTGGCAATAGCCAGTCGTGGTTGTATAAGTCAAGGACTACCTACACAGGTAGTCCTCGACATATGACCATAACAGCCCAAAACGTATGTCGCTAAGTGAAACATTTACTAAGTGAATTTTGCCCCATTTTACCACTTTTCTTGCCAGAGTTGGTTTCTTGGTGCAGTTGTTAACTTAGCAACACGGTGGCTAAGTGAATCAGGCTTCCCCGTTGACTTTAAATTTCAAGGTGCAAGAAAGCAAAATTCATGTCCACTTTTTGTCTAAAATATTGTCTAATTTCAGTAGGTCACTAGTTAACAGTGCAGGTAGTCCTCGACTTATGACCATAATGGAGCCCAAAATTTCTGTTGCTAAGTAAAACATTTGTTAAGTGAGTTTTGCCCCATCTTATGCCCTTTCTTGGCACAGTTGTTAAGTGAATCACTGCAGCTGTTAAGTTAGTAACATGGTTGTTAAGTGAATCGGGCTTCCCCCACTGACTTTGCTTGTCAGATGGTCGCAAAAGGGAATCACGTGACCCCGGGACTCTGCAACGGTCATAAATATGAGTCACCTGCCAAGTGTCTGATCCCGTGACCGTGCGGATGCCGCCATGGTTGTAAATGTGAAAAAAAAACCCACCATAAGTCATTTTTTTCCATGCTGTTTTAACTTTGTACGGTCACTAAATGAATTGTTGCAAGCTGAGGACTGCCTGTATTTCAAACTTGGGTTTACAAAAGACGTTTTGCGAAAAATAATTAAACTGGAAAATAGTTCAGACAATGAAATACAGCTGAAGCATAAAGAAGAGCTGTGAATTTCCTAGCAAGATGGACCGATCACACCTTTGTTTGATGCCCATTTCTTTTCTTAATTCACCTGCAGCTCCTGCTTGCCGGATGCAGCCAGTCTCTCCTTTGGGGATCCTCTCCCTTGTCCTCAACATCATGTGTGGTGCACTCAACCTTATTCGAGGGGTACACCTGGCAGAGTATTCGTTGCAGGTAATGGGGTTGCTGATTTAGGGGCAAGGAGAGTCAGCTTGGGCTAGTGGTGAAGGTGCAGAGCCAATCACCAGGAGAATGTGAGTTCCAGTCCTGCCTTAGACATGAAAGACAGCTGGGTGACTTTGGGCCAGTCACCAGGAGATGGAGAATTCTAGTTCTGCCTTAGGCATGAAAGCCAGCTGGGTGACTTTGGGCCAATCACCAGGAGACAGTGAGTTATAGTCTCGCCTTAGACATGAAAGCCAGTGGGGTGAGTTTGGACCAATCAGGAGATGGTGAATTGTAGCCCCACCTAAGACCCTCCACCCCTGAGGTACCCTGTGCTCCGCTTAACGACCTGTTGTTGTTAATTGCGAAGTCATGTCCGACCCATCGCGACCCCATGGACAACGTTCCTCCAGGCCTTCCTGTCCTCTACCATCTTCTGGAGTCCATTTAAGTTCACACCTACTGCTTCAGTGACTCCATCCAGCCATCTCATTCTCTGTCGTCCCTTCTTCTATTGCCCTCAATCTTTCCCAGCATTAGGCCCTTCTCCAGTGAGTCCTTCCTTCTCATTAGGTGGCCAAAGTACTTGAGTTTCAACTTCCGGATCTGGCCTTCTAAAGAGCAGTCAGGGTTGATCTCTTCTAGGACTGACCGGTTGGATCGCCTTGCAGTCCAGGGGACTCGCAGGAGTCTTCTCCAGCACCAGAGTTCAAAGGCCTCCATTCTTTGGCGCTCAGCCTTTCTTAGGGTCCAACTTTCACAGCCATCCATTGCAACGACCTGTACAGTTGCTTAACTACCACATCGGGGAGCACAGAGATGGTGGTCTTTAAATTAGATGATCCACAGTCCATCTCAGTTAACAACTGTCACAACTTGCGACCTGAACGGGCAGGCTACATTATCATCCGGAAGTTTATTTATTTATTTATTTATGAGATTTATATACCGCTTTAAGTGCAAGCACTCTCTAAGCGGTGTACACCAGTAAGCAATGTATATATATATATATATTTACATTGCCCCCAACAATCTGGGTCCTCACTTTACCTACCCCGGAAGGATGGAAGGCTGAGTCAACCTTGAGCCGGTGAGATTTGAACCGCTGACCTGCTGAACACAGTCAGCTAAAGTGGCCTGCAGTACTGCACTCTAACTGCTGCGCCACCTCGGCTCTTTTTGAGGACTGCCTGTAGCTAATTCGGATTCTGCCTTAATGGCGCCAACGTGACTGCTTAAAAAAAGTGAAAAAACAGTATCTTTACGTTTCAGTTGATCTGTTTTTCGTTTTTCAATTTGACCCCTAGGAAGATCACCAAGAAATTGGAAACATCATAGCGTTCCTGTTGCCTTTCATGTGCTGCTTTGGTTTGGTGAGCAACTTATATATTTTCTGTTTCCTTGGTGTTGAAAATTGACTTAAAAGTGACTCCTGCCTCAGCAACTTTCTGTAATGCTTTGATTGATCACAAAGGTGCATCAGTTTTTTTATATATATTTTATATAAAGTGCATCGGAAGTTTCTTGGATGAAAAGCAAAATGTTTTCTTCCTCAAATAAAGAACAGTCTACTTACTTTTTTAAGAGAAAAAAGGCCCTTTGAAACAACTATAACTCTGGATGACTGAGAATCTCCGTAGACCAGCAGTTCTCAACCTGACCATTTGGGGTCGAACGACCATTTCACGGGGGTCGCCAAACAACGCAGTCTGCTGTTTTTCCCCCCTTTTCCTTAGTTGTGCTACTCCCTTTTATTCTATTGGCTTTGGAAAGCCAATAGAATAGGCTCTCTTGAATAGAGTCTAATTCTATTGGCTTTCAAAAGCCAATAGGAATTGTCCAGGCTGTCTCTGCCCTGCTGAGCCCGCCAAAAGCTCCAGTCTGCAAACGGTGCTGCAAGTTGTCTGCAGTGAAGGCGAGCTGTCTGGAAGTGTCCACCCCTCCCTGCTGAGCAACTACTACAAATGTAAGGCCAGGGTGGGAGGTGGGAGGCCAGCGGGTGCAGGGAGGGTTGCTGGCACGCGTGGGGCCCAGCGGGTGCCTTACCTCCCTTGGGCTGGGCCAGCTGGTGGCCCAGCCGGTGGTCAGTCTGCTCCATCTCTGCCGCTTGCCAGCTACGCCTCAGCCGGTGCAGGGGGCGGCACCACACATGTGCGGCACTCCCGGGCAGGGAAAGTCCTCGACTTACGACCGGTTGGGTAGCCCTCGACTTACGATCGGTTGGGTAGTCCTCGACTTACGACCGGTTGGGGGTCACGGCATTAAAAAGGTTGAGAATCACTCCCGTAGACTCTTTGATTTATCAATTGATAACTGAAGGCCCGTTCTGGATTTATTATCATGCTGTTTTTTCTATATTCACCTCTTTGTCTTCAGTAGGCCTACAAATTAGGTGTCGGCAGTTTTTCAATACCAGGCTCTTAAAAATAAAATTAAAAATAACTCAGATCTTACACCGTAACCAGATAATATCCAATTTCAGAGAAGGTTTTAATACTCTTGAATGAGAGTTTGCAGGAATTCAGATAAGACCCAGCAATCTTGTTAGAGCTTCGCCTTCCCTCCAATGAATTCCTGCTATAAAATGTTATCAGAATAACTATATGAATACTTCATCTCGCTTTTTGATTGCTGGCTAATTCCAGTAACCTTGCGATATTTCAAGGACCATTTTCTTAAGAAAACCTTGATGGCGATGACATCCAGTTTTGGTCTCCACAATATAAAAAAAAAAAAAATTGAGACTGGAAACAGTGCAGAGAAGAGAGAGAAAGAAGATTAGGAAACTGGAGACTAAAACATATGAAGAACAATTGCTGGAATTGGGTCTGTCTAGTTTAATGAAGAGAAGGACGAGGGGGGAATGATAGCAGTGCTCCAGTATCTCAGGGGCTGCCCCAAAGAAGAGGGAGTCAAGCTATTCCCCAAAGCGCCTGAAGGCAGGACAAGAAGCAACGGATGGAAACTAATCAAGGAGAGAAGCAACCTGGAACTAAGGAGACAATTTCCTGACAGTGAGAACAATTAACCAGTGGAACAACCTACCTCTAGAAGCCCTGAATGCTCCAACCTTGGAAGTTTTTAAGAAGAGACTGGACCGCCATTTGTCCAAAATGATGTAGGGTTTCCTGCCTGAGCAGAGGGTTGGACTAGATGACCTTCAAGATCTCTTGCAACTCTATTATTCTGTTATATTGCATTTGTGCCCTGCTTACTTAACAGCCGTTTTTTTTCTTTTTCAAAATATATTTTTGCAGTGTTACCTCTACTTATTCTACACTTCCGCCCGGAAGATCAAAGTTTTCATCCTGCTTGCAACTGTCTGTCTCTGCAATGTGTACCTGTACGGATTACGAAACAACTGGCAAATCCTCTTCCACATCGCAGTTGCGTCCTTTTCTTCTCACCAGATCCTAACCCGGCAGGTGGCTGAGAAACAGCCGGATTTGGGGGTGTGAAAAAGGACTCCTTGCATCCCAGACGGGGTGTTAAAAAAAAAAAAAAGTCTCAGCTTTGAGGGAAATTATTCTAAAGGAGCTCTGAGCAAATTGACTTGTAAGTTTGGGTTTTTTTCACCCTTGCTCAAAATAATGCATTTTAGCAAAAAGAAAAAAAAAAGAAAAACACTATTTATTTTTTTAGACCTGACAGGCAGGAAAGAAAATATCCATCTTAAGGAAGGAAGCTTGCAATCTTTTTAGATTAATTTGTTTAATCCAAAAAAAGGGCCGCAGGGTGTGCGTGCTGAAAAAGACTCTCGCTGCTCTGAGTTGTAGCAAAAATTCAGAGTTTTAGAGGCTGCCGTCCGATTTTTCCGTCCAACTTTGTGTGTGTGTGTGTGTGTGAGCAGAAAGCAAATTCAGAAAGCCACATCCACCGCTGATAATCTGGGAAAAATCAGCCTGGAAAATCAGTATGCACTGGAAACTCCCAACTGTGTCCTATAAGCTCTGTCCAAGATGAACTTTGGAAAGTGGTTGCAACCCACTGTGGGATCCCTCCAAGTTTAAAGCACAAGATTCTTTTACCAAACCATTGAGGGTTTTTTTTATATATACATATAATTAATTGTAATATTATTTGGGAGAGGATAATTGTAATATTATTGGGAAACTAACTTTTGAATCATGTTTGCATTAGGCTAAGTTGTAGATAAATCTATTTATATTGAGTTTGGGCAGAGGAGGCAGCAGCCTCGAAAAATCACGGATTGGTGAAGGTGCCTTGAGAGAGAACGTCCTGTAAAAATTACCTGTACATAGCCCGTTCCTTGTTTTGAACTAAAAAAAAAAACAGCTTTGATTACACGATTTCACATTGATATGGCATTTTTTAAAAGAATTTTCTTATGTATCTAGATTTCAGTGGAGTTTTTACACACGGGTGCTTACAACTATAGGTTTACAGCATGGATAATAAGAGGAAAAGTCTACTGAATATTATGTTCTTCTTAAAGTTACTTTTTCCAATCTGACTGAGTGGGATGAATTTTTGTTGCAAACAATAGGTAATTTATAATGGTGTGTCCTCCTAAGCAGGGGATCCGTTGAGTTGAATTCAAATGCTGCCGTATTTTCCTGAAATTAAGACCCTGTCTTACTTTCTTTTGGGCCCTGAAGTAAGCACAAAGATTTACTTTGGGGGGGGGGCTTTTGCCGCTACTACGGGGTGGGGTGGGGTAGGGTGCATGGCATGGAGAAGCAACACGGCGTCGAGAGCCTGGTGGCGGACCAGGTATGGTACCGGAGTGGGTGGGAGGGTGGGATGCCTGCCCTTCCTGTGCCAGGCCAGCCCCTGCAGCACCTGGGGGGCCGTGCTGGGCGGTGGCGGGAAGGGTGCTGAGATGGGGCTCGCCAGGCTGACCAAAGCGGCAAGTGGAGCACCGGAGTCTCAGGGAAGGAGGGTGATGAAGCAGGCGGGTGTCCTGCCGTCAGCACCCTGCTGGCTGCCCCTTCCCCATGGAGCCAGAGAGCTTGGCACACCACTACCCAGATGCCCTCACTCCCCCCCCCAGAAGTTGTATTTCTTTCCTTACCTGACTCCCAGCCCCGTGCCGTTTCCCCTTCGTGATCCGCCACCGCCATGTGCAGGGAAACAAAAGGTTTTTTGGGGGAAAGGTCAATCAATTCCAACTTCTCGTTAAAAAAAAAAAATCTTGCGAAGTTGGAATTGATTGATGCATCTTTTTCACACACCCCCACCCCCCAAAAAACTTCTTTTGTTTTCTTACAAGCAGTTTGGAAACGGATGGGAAAAGCCATTGTTTTTTTCCCACCCAAGTTTTCCCATTTTTTTCCCCCAGGGCTTCCCATTTCCCGTTAGGGCAGTGGTTCTCAACTTGTGGGTCGGGACCCCATTTGGGGTCGAACGACCATTTCACGGGGGTCGCCAAACAATACAGTCCGCCATTTTTTCCCCTTTTCCTTAGCTGTGCTACTCCCTTTTATTCTGTTGGCTTTTGAAAGACAATAGAATAGACTCTCTTGAATAGAGCCTAATTCTATTGGCTTTCCAAAGCCAATAGGAATTGTCCAGGCTGTCTCTGCCCTGCTGAGCCCGCCAAAAGTCCCATTCTGCAAACGGTGCTGCACCAGTTGAGTAGTCCTTGACTTACGACCGGTTGAGTAGTCCTTGACTTACGACCAGTTGGGGGTCGCGGCATTAAAAAGGTTGAGAACCACTGCATTAGGGTTGGGGGGCAGTGGGGGTTAGAGTTAACGTATGGTAGGCCTGGCAGAGATATTGGGCACGACACGTGAGGTGGCAAACAGCTGCCTTGTGCCCAAACCAGCTGTTTGCCACCTGCCCAATGCCACTGCCATGAGGCCCCCAGAACAAGACAAGCAGCGGTAGAGAACCAGTATACTGGTATCATGGATCAGATCCCCCCTGCCCCATTGTCTTTGCCTCATCACAAAGGCAGGCCATCTGTGTAGGCCCTTAACTAGGGCTTGCTTTCAGGGGGAGGGCTTATATTAGCCCCCCCCTGAAAAACAGCCGGGGCTTACTTTCAGAGGTGGCTTTACTTTCGGGGAAACACAATACTAGACCTCATGGCAAGGAACACAAGACTAATGATGTTACCCAGCTGGGTCACGAAATGTCTGCAAGAAGCATCCAAGCTCAGAGAGCACCGAGAACCCCACAGCTGTCCTGAATTGTGTTCGTAAGTCGAGGACTCCTTGTACTGTTCTTATCCTCAAATTATGACCCTTCATTCAGCAACTGCTCAAAGTTAATGACGGTGCCGAAGGAAAGAACTTATGGTCGATCCTCAAAGTTCGAAAAGATTCTTTATGAGAAGCGCTTTTGGGTAATGGAAGGAAAGATTTGGGTAGCGTTGAGTTAAATCTGTAATTTCCCAATTGCCTAGCTTGCAAAACCTTGCAAGTTGCTGTCTAATCTGCTAAGTTTCCAAGTGCAGGGACATGGTGAACCTTTCAGACACGCCTCCTTTGAAAAAGAGGTGTGGCTTCCATCAGCCAATTGTCCATCTTCTTGACTATTTTGACCTACTTGAGCCCACCCTAATCGCCTTGCCTTGGCAAAGGGCTCTTTTAATTTTGTGACCTCAGTTTATGACCACAATTGAGCCCAAAGTTGTTAAGTGAATCTGGCTCCTCCATTGTTTGTCAGAAGGTCGCAGAAGGGGATCACGTGACCCCGGGACACTGCGACCGTCATAAATACGGGTCAGTTGACGAGTATCTGAATTTTGATCACGTGACCGAGGGGAGGCTGCAATGGACGTAAGTGTGAAAACTTTTCGTTAGTTCCTTTCTTTCGATGCCGTTGTTCTTCAAAGGGTCACTAATTAAACGTTTCTAAGTCAAGGACTGTCTTTTAACATTTTTCTTTTAGGAAACGCAACATGGTTTTTAATCTTCTACTGCAGGGCTTTTCAACCTTTTCACCCATTGTACCACTTTTAGGATATGGCAATCCTAGGCAACCAGTCGCCTAGCAATGTGTCAAAACTTGACCCCCCCCCAAATGAAAAAAAAGTGATAAAAGTACAGGTAGTCCTCGAGTTACAACAGTTCGCTTAGTGACTGAAATTACAATGGCACTGAAAAAAGTGCCCCCCAAGCCACAGCCGAGCAAGACACCTGCCTGCCCACCCAGCGGTGTTCTTCCTCCTGTCCGAGGTTTTCATTGTTGTGAGCATTTCTGTTGAGGAATGGCAGTGGGGGTGGGGTGGGTGTGTGTGTGATTTTTATTCCCCCCCTGTCTGCTGGGTGGTTGCAGTAGGTTTTGGTCACTTCACATGAACCCGGGACACTGTGACCGTCATAAATATGAATCAGTTGCCAAGCATCTGAATGTAAATCACAAGACCCTGGAGAGGCTGCAACATTCCAGCTGATTGGCGCTTCTTCTGGGCTCAGCAGAAGTGCCAGGATCAGTGCTGAGCTCCAGCTGGAGCCTGGCGCTGATCCTGGCGCTTTTACTGAGCCCTGACAGCCCCAAGAAGTGCCAATCAGCTGGAAAGTGGCACTGATCCTGGCGCTTCCGCTGAGCCCTGACAGCCCTGCAGCTCCAGCCGTCTCTCGCTCAGGCTTGTGCGGTGCTGCCACCGGCTCAGCTCATTCCCCTCCCTCGCTACTCCTTATCTAGGATGGTCGCGTACCACCTGCCAGGGGCCAATGTACCACAGGTGGTACCCGTACCACTGGTTGAAAAGTCCTGTTCTACTGTGTATTTTAAAAAGAAATGTATCCCTGTTGGTACAGGGATCTGATTTCCCCCCCCTTTTCTGAATGAAAGCCAACATGTTAAAACCCCCAGTTGCTCCATCTTTGAAATGATCAGAGGATTTTAAACACATTCTGCTTTAAATTTTTAAACCAAAAAACCTTTGGTGTGTTTCTGATTCTCTTTGTCCAGTTCTCCTTTGCACTGAGTTCAAAAGACTCGACTTCTAAATGTCTGGTAGAAAAAAATTGAATTTGTGTATACAAAGAGCAGGAATCAATAAAAAGAATAAAGGATTACATTCCATTTTTGATATGTATTTATGAGTGATGTTTCTATCTTCCCCACCGTCTAGGATCTGGGTAGATTTTATTCAGAGATCATGTTTCTTAAACATCTGTTAAAATCAATGGAGGAAAGTAAGCTTCGGGGAGCTGAAGAGCAGCATAAAAATTTAATAAATATAAATAAATAAAAAGCAGCCAGCAAAATGAGGAACATCCCTCTGCAGTATCAGGAACCAAGAAAAACGTAGAATTATTTCCAAGCAGTTTGCTTTAGCCTTCCTCACTTACAGATGGAAGACTTGCTAAACCAATGTAACTGCAGATAGGCCTCAAAGCTCCAACGGCATTGGAAAAAATAGGACTTAACAATCAGTCCTCACACTTACGACTGCCGCAACATCTTCCCCCCCAGTTGTGGGATCAAAACTTGAGCGGTTAGCAACTGGCTTGTATTTGCAATTGTTGTGTTGTCCTGGGATCACATGATCACCCTTTTATGCCTTCCCAGTAAGTTTCTGACAAGCAGTGTCAACAAGGGAATCTGGTTTCACTTAACGACTGTAGTATTTCTCTTAAGCAGGGCAAAAAAGGTATAATTGAGCGTGACTCCCTTAACCACCTTGCTTACCAATGCAAATTATTGTATTGATTGTGGTCGTAAGTTGAGGAATTTGCAACACTAAAGATATAAGGAAGTCCTCTGGTTAATGAACACAATTGAACCCCGAATTTGTGTTGCTAAGCAAGACAGTTGTTAAGTGAGTTTCTTGTCCCAGTTGTTAAGTGAATCCCTCTAATTAACATGGTTAAGTGAATGTGGCTTTGTTTAGTGACTGTTTCTGGTCAACAACAGCACTGAAAAGCACTTATGAGCGTGTTTCATACTTACAACCATTTGCAGCATCCCCATAGTCACGTGATCAAAATTTGGTTGCTTAGCCACTGACTCATACTTGACGACTCTTGTAGTGTCCTGGGGTCATGTGATCACCATTTGTACTTTCAGCTGGCTTCCCACAAACAAAATCAGTAAGGGAAGCCAGAATTCACTTAACAGCTGCATGATTCATTTAACTGCATGATTCGCTTAACAACTGCAGCAGAAAGGTCACAAAATAAGGCACGACTCACAAGGTGACTGCCTTCCTTAGAAACCAAAACATTGTGGTCATAAGCCAAGGACTACCTGTAGCTTGCAGATCATTCTAGTATGTGAACCCATCCTAGGAAAGAAGCAGGCGGATGTAATATTCACAAGAACATCTTAAACACAAATTCCCTTTTCTGTGCTGTGGAATAAAAAAGCCACTAGGGGTCATTGGTGAGTTAACACTGCATCAGTATATAAACAGGCTGTATTTCAAAATTAACTGCTTGATCTGGTTTAGTTTTTTTAACACAGGTAGTCCTCGACTTATGACTGTTATGGAGCCTTCCTTCCTTTCCTTTCCTTTTCCTCTTTCCCTCCCTCCTCCCTCTTTTCCTTCCTTCC